CATATCAACTATCGCAAGAGCCACTGGACCTAGTCCGCCTGTGGCGAGGCTGAGTCACGCTGCGTAAACCAGGGCGACGTCGAAAGGATCCAATAGCAGGGGAGGCAGTCCGCCGCACCGTGAGCTGCGAGGCTCTGATCCTCGTAAACTTCCTGCCTCGGAAGGCGCTCGTGGCCTGTGTGTCGTCTGGCTGGGCAGTCTGACCACGAGCGACACTAGCGGTTTGCCCCATAACCGGGGCAGTCTCCTGTCTGTCATAGTGTACAAAGGCACTAGACGTGAAGCTCTCGCAGGAGACGTCATGCTGAGCACGGTTAAGACCGCATGACTGCTAAGGAATGGGAGAAAGAGGAAGTCCAGCTTGCGGAGCAGTCCTGTGCTCGCCGCCCGGAGAAGGGTGGGGGCTGGCTATATGCTCAGCCGTGCTCCTAATCTCCGGAGAGAGAGGAGGGACCGACTCGTCCCCTTTCGGGGGAGCGGTGGAGGCACTGGCACTCAAATCCAGAGGGCCGCGGTCCGGACTGGATGCACGCACGGTCAGAGGGGCATCGTCTCGTGCACTGTCATCGGACAAATGGATGGACTCTCCCCTGGTCGAGGCCTCCGGCTGGTCCATATCGTCGACCAGGAGGTCATCGTCGTCAAGGAGCGCAAGGTCAGAGATCCTAGGGTGGCGACTAGTGGACGGAGCGCTCTCATCCTCTGCCTGAGGGGAGAGAATGGCAAAGTATGAGTGATTGGCCTTGAAGGCCGACTGTAGGGTCTGTCTAGGGAGAAAGCCCGTGGACTTGGGCTTTGTCCCCACTATGGCCAACTGCTTAGGCTGGTTAGGGCGAGCGTCCTTCCCAGTTTGGGCAGTGGCATCAATCACAGTCTTGCCCTTGTCCTTAGACCCCTTTGGAGTCTCGGGCGTACGGAGAGGGCTTTTGCCCTTTCCCTTTGGGTCCCTCCTGCCGTTGGAGGGCCCTGGCTGCGCGGCGCGATGACGCTGCGGAAGCGTGGGCCGTGGCTTATTGCCACTAATGTAGCAATCAGCCGCAATGTGACCCACGTGGCTGCACAAATTGCAGAACGCGGGGATCTTCTCATAGATCACCCGCTGAACAAAGGACTCGGAGCCCTGTTCAATCTCGATCTCATGGACGAGCTCCGCTCTGAGATCTATCTCGACACAGAATCGCGCCACGCTAACCCTCGTCTGAAGGGCCGTGTGGGCGTCAATACGAATCGGCTGCCCAATACACTTAGCAAGTGTAGTGATGGCAGCACGGTCGTAGAGGTGGGGTGGGAGGCCGGGAAGACGGCACCAAACAGGGACAATCGGCGCCTCCGTCTTCGGGTTAAACCCGACATAGTATTTGAAAACCCTAGCGGGGCATCCACACAGATGAATCAAGGTCTTAAGCCAGACCTCATTATAATCCTCAATGAGGTGGAAGGTGACTAGAAGGTGGTTAAAATTGAACCACTTCGAAGATACACTACCCTTAAAACCCAATTTCCTTAACCCAGCAGATATATCTCGAGGGGCGGGGATAGCATATGAGAACTTAAATACCAGGGTGTTATCTAGCTTACCTGATAGGTCGCCAGATTCAGTGTCGGAGAAGCGGGCCTTCACTTTGTTCCCCTTCGAGCGGATGATGGTGCCGCAAGCATGTTCGTAATTCCCGTCGAATGGGAAATCTTTCGGTGTTGGGCTCGGGGAGCTCGAGCCGCCATTTTTCTTTCCCGTAACGGCCTCCCGGAATGAGACCGGGCCCGTAGAGGTGCCTGGTTGAGGCCCGGGTGCATGATGATTGACCGTGGAGGTGGGCATTGCGGATGTCCCGTTCGGAGACGGTCCATTCGAGCCGCCGGCCGCGTAAGTAGGTATGCCGGCGAGTTGGTCGGTCGTGGAGAGTGAATTTGGCCGAGGGCCAAGGATTTCTATTGATACATTCCCGGTGGCAGAGGTAGCTAGTCCGGCCGGTTGCTCCGCCGGAGAGGGTGAGGATGGCCGTTTTCTGAGCTTGCCGGTCGAATCCAATTCCGTGACGTGTATTCCGGCCGAGCTGGCCGATTTCGGGGCTGTAGAGTAGCCGGCCAGTAGAGAAGTACCGGTGACTGAGCCATCTCCTGCTGCTGGTTGGATATTTGTTGCAGCTTGGTGGCACGGGAACAATTGATTGGGCTGTAAATTATCTGGCTGGCAGGCTGATTTGGTGGAGGTGGGCGCTGTGGTGGGCTGGGAGGAGGATTTGGGTTGAGATTGCTGCACAGGCCCGAAGAGAGGGAGGCCCAAGAGAGGGCTATATTGGATTATCTTATTATTTGCTTCAGGTTGTGGAGGTTTAATGGGCTGAGGGCCTGTGAAGGCACGAAAGGATTGGGCCGGTTGAATTTGCCCAGCTGAAGGGTTAGGAGATTGGTCGTTTTCCTTCAGCTCCTGATTGGCACCGTGTTCAAACCGACACTGCGCATCCTCAGTGGGGAAAGAGCGGCGGAAATTGACATCCTCAGAAGCCGACAACCCATATGAACCGAACACGAGCGGCGGACAGCTATCAACAGGAGATGACCCGATCTCGATTTGTTTTTTTCGGACCTCTGCGACTATTTCACCGTCTTCAATAGAGTCGCTAGCTTCTTCCTTGTTATTTGTTCTGATTTTCCCGAGAATAGCAGAAAGTGCTTCTCGAAATTTCGGATGAGAAATGAGAAATTCCAGGTCTGAGGCGTGAAAAGATGATGGAATAGTAGCTGTGGGTTGGATAAGATCCGGCGGACCCATGACAGAAACGAAAATATCGATTAAGATTTAGGGGTTAAGCGATAAGGTTTTGTGCGACAGGGGGTTGGCCCGGTGCCGGCCGGCGCCGGCACCGACTCGGTGAACTGCGAGAAGGTCCGTTGAACTGGCCGGAGGAGATGACCGATGACTGGGGTAAGAAAACGGGATCTGCCGGATATTCTAGAGAGAGGTTAGTGAGAGGCGGGAGCATGTATCTTACTGCTGACTTTTTTTGTTGTTGCTCTCTGTAGTTGCTAGGTTAGTTCTCTTTAGTTGTTAGGTTAGTAGTTGTTAGGTTAGTTCTCTCTAGTTGCTAGGTTAGTAGTTGTTAGGTTAGTAATTGTTAGGTTAGTTCTCTGTAGTTGATAGGTTAGTTCTCTCTAGTTGCTAGGTTAGTTCTCTGTAGTTGCTAAGTTAGTTCTCTGTAGTTTCTAAGTTAGTAGTTGCTACGTTAGTTTTCTGTAGTTGCTGAGTTAGTTCTCTGTAGTTTCTAGGTTAGTTGTCTAAAGTTGCTAAGAGTTGTCCGCATTTTAAAAGTTGTCCTCATTTGATCCGCCCCCTATATATATATAGGGAGGATCCAATGAGTCCACCTCCTAAAATGTGAATGTGAGACCCATTCTCAACCCTTGGATCTGGTTTTTAAATCTACGGTCAGCATCAAGAGAATAATTAGAACTCACTCGCGCACCAAAACAGAAAATATCTCAAATTTCCTTCTAAATCACGATTCTCTGCGATTTCTTCTCAAACTAGATTTTCATATCAGTTCGAATTTCGATTTCATCATCTGATTAGGTTTAACTCTCGTTTTTTATTGATCGGATAAACATACTCAACTGCACATCAAAATATCCAGAGAAAAAAGTCGATCAGAATCATCACATTCATAAGGTTCATCAGATTTGTCTGCAAATGTCAGCGGAAGCATCTTCAATGGAGATCGAAGCAACTCCAGTTGCGACATTGATGGAAGAAGGTATACCGACTTTATTTTTTTCCAAATCGATTCATTCAATTTTAAATAAATACGTGCTTCTTAATTCAACATTCATGTGAATCGAGTTATTTAATTAGATCGATTACATTATAGTAAGACAATTGTTCGTGCTTATCTGCAATGCTGATTTGGTGGTAGAATCTCTATTTTCTAATGAGCATATTACATATTCTTTGGTTTATGAGTACATATACATGAAGACATAACTAAATATGCAATATGTATTAATAATTAGGGTAAATAATTTTTTCCAACCTGTACTATACGTGCTTTTGGGATTTTCAACCTAAAGTATTTTTTATTGTAAAATGCAACCTGAACTACATATACAATCACTATTTGCACGCTCGACCACATCTTGACCATACACGTGTCCTTTTTGTGTATGATCGGACGGTTAAAAACTAGTCGAGCGTGAAAATAATTGTATATATGTAGTTCAGGTTGCATTTGACAACAAAAAAAACTTTAGGTTGAAAATCCCAAAAACACGTATAGTACAGGTTGGAAAAAATTATTTACCCTAATAATTATGCACGTAAAAATTGGGTGTTGCACTGTTATACTTGCACATTAGATGAATATATATAACACAACTATGCATGAAAGAATAAATAAATATGCATGATTATATCAATAAGTATGCACGTAATAATTGCTTATTCATTGATCCAGATGTTCTGCATAACAAACATATATGCAATTTCGTAGATCTAACTAAGAAACTTTATTAAACTAAGTATGCAAAAGTCTCTTGTTAAGTATGCACGTTATAACTGCAGTTTTGTTCATTTCAGTTGTTTTAGATTATAATTGTATATGCACCGTTTTAATTATAAAATAGCAACATCGTTGAACTAAATTTGCAACAGTTCTCAAAACTTGTTTTTCTTCTTATATTTTGTAGTAGGTACTAATCATGAGGGATCTCGTATTATCACAACTTTAACAATAAGATATTTATTGTTTTTATATGCAGTAGTTACCAATAAGAGTTGAGGTATCTGTTAGTGTTGTAGGTTGCATCAAATGAGACGACATCTCCAAACATTAGGTAATTTTTTCTTGAAATTGGGTCTGCCCAAAATATCTTGCTTAATTTGTTATTTCCATCAACTGTGTACTCAAATGACATGTCTGGGCATACTTTTTGTTTGTTGTGGAATTTTTGAACGATGAGTTGTGCATCTGCTCTTGACATGTAATACATAAGTTCTCTCTTGTAGTTCTTGATATCAATTTTGAGAGCGCCAACGTTAGAATCTCCCCCAAGCATCTTCTTGTACAATCTATGGGTTTTAGTTGGGCCGATGTTTGCTTTCACACAATTAAGATCAAATTTCTAGTGTCTGTAATTCGATTGCCGGTTTGCATTGAGATATTGTGTCTCCAATGCTAGGGCGTGAATGTTTTCTTCGAATTTGGTGATTTTGTACCCATTTCCATCATACTCAAATACTGCTCGAGCTTTGCAACCAACCCTTTCTGACATACGTTGTCGTGGAACTACACCTGACTTAGAAGGTAGTTGTGACGTGGAACTACACCTGACTCAGAAGGTAGTTGTGACATGCTCTTTGAAGTATTTTGTGGGATTTCTGGCTTAAATCCTTGTTTATTGCAAACCATATACTGTTAATTTATCACGCCACTTCTAAATCGTTTTGTTGTGTAAGTCCACACATCAAATCCACCATTTGCTCCGTAGTTTCTGTAGAATTCCATTACAATATCAAGGTTCGAAAACAGCATGCCGAATTTAGGCTTTATATCTTGTTGGACGATTGGCATCCAATACTTTGTTAAATTTGGCGATATCACCAATTGAATCTATTTGCAATATGTTCAAATTGTTATGGTATCTCTGATTGCTATAGTTGTGAATGTAATGAATTAAATATGCAACATGGTTAAACTAACTAGGCACTGAAATAATTTGTGATAATACAAACTATGCATATTAAATTGCAAAAACTATGCATTCATTTACAACTAAGTATGCATCAATGTATATATAGAATTAAGTATAGAGATTTTATTTGAGACAGAATAGTCTGCATAACTGAATGCAAAAAGCTTGCAACTCTATGATACTAAGTTTGCAATACAAGACAATTAAGTATGCATGTTTTTATAACTAAATGGGCAGCTAGTGTAAATTTATATATTGTCATAACTAACTAATTTTTAATTTATACAGGTACAACATGGTGTTTGTACCATTTACTGGAATAGACAACCATAAAAAGTGTGTAACATATGCAGCTGGATTGATTGTTAAAGAGGATGAAGAATCCTATATTTGGTTGTTGGAAAATTTCTTGAAGGGACATGAACCATATTACATTGTTACCGACCAAGATCCCGCCATGAAGAATGCTATCCGGGCAACTTTCAAACAAACGAGAAATCGTTTATGCATGTGGCATATTATGGAAAAGGTAAATGTAAAGGTTGGTCCTACTTTAGCCAAGAATA